TTTATTATATATAATTTTCTTTCTTTTTTATATAAGGAAGAAGATAGCGTTTTTTGTTTTTTGATAGGATCAAAAATATAGACAAAAAATTTTAAAAACCACAACAAAAAGCACAAAATTTGCAAAAAATACCGAAATTTGAAATTTTTCTGGGGTAGTTTTCTCCCCCAGATGTGTATTCTGGGGTTAGTTTTTTTTAAAAGACTATAGTAGAAATATTACTATTTGAAGCAATAAATGATTTTTTGCTATTAAATTAGTTATTTCTAACTAATTCAAATTTAGAGAGAATATTATCAATATTTACATATTCTTCATAAATTATGTATAATTATCTTCTTTTGAAAAAAGATATATATAACATATATATCTTTTTTGTTTTTCAATTTAATTAATAATCAATTAACAAAATGCGCATAAAATTAAATAAATATTAATATACAATATTAACATCAATATTAATAAATGATTTAAGTTTATTCAGTAAAAATGAGATTTTTATTAAAGTATATAATTATTTATGAATTAAATATAATTGAGAATGTCTTATGATTGGATTATATAGTAACGTCATATAATATATAATTTATCACTCGAACTTAATTCCGATTTCCCTAAATTTCCATATTTACCAAATGATTATTCTACCTATCCTCGATTTCATGAATCATGATTATTGATTAGTTCTCTGTTTTAATTAATTAATTAACTAATTTCCATTTGATATGTTCCCTTTGAACATATATATATGAAATAAATTTTGTTAAAACATTAATGCAATGTATTATTTTCTTTTTTAATTAACGTCAGTAGAGTTCACAACGTTTATAATCAGCGATTAAAAAAAATATATATTTTTCATTTGAAAATTAATAATTAACTGTTTAACTACAAATTTTTCTTTTAAAAAATATAGTTGATCGAAGAAACATTTCAGAAAAAAAATTATAATACATTGAAAAAATTTTATTTTAAATTAAAAATTTTTATTTTAAATTATATTTTTCAATTTTCTATATACTAATCTCAATAAAAATATTTTTTTTAAATTAGAGAAAATGTTAATAGTTATTAAATGAAAATTAAATGAGTATAATTTTTTTTTATAAAACGTCAAAAATCATTCTAATATTCTATACTCTGCTTTTAGAGAAATTTATTACTATTCAAGAGTAAATTATTCTACTAATATGATTTCTTGGGAGTTTTACAAATATTTGTAGAAACTCGTTAGAAGTCTTAGTAAAGTTCACTGTGGAACTAATAAAGTTTTCTGAAATCAACATGGTGACTTGTTGAAAGTTGAATATAATTAATCATAATTTTCAAATTAACTTAACAGTTAATATATCTCATTCAAAACATGTTCTCTTTTTTCATTCTCTTTCACACTTTAAATAGTTATTAAGTGATTTTTAAAACTTAGAAACACACAAAAATAATTTTTTTTTTTGTAATAATTTCAAAATATACCCAACAATAATTAAACTTTAAAAAAACAAATTATAAATTTGTAGAATAAATTAAATTTACATTCTGAAAAAAATTTGTTTGAAACAATCCAATTTTAGTTGAATCAATAAAAAGTTTATTTGACTCAATCAAATTTTTTCTTTTTTCATTGTTCGAGAAATTTATTAAAATAATAACCATAAACGTTTATTTAAATCAAATAAATATATATTTCAATTAAACATATTTTGTAGAATAACACAAAAAAAATAGTATATTTGGTTCAAACAAATGTTTACTCTGAGTAACAAATGCATTTAAAATTATATTTGTAAAAAAAAAATTAAATTTAAATTCAGATTTGAATGAGCTGAGTTTTTCTTATCAATTTCCAATTTTTAAATTTAAAAAACCGCGCGGTTCTTGATTAAAAAGGTATATTTAGTTTTTATTTTTTATAATGGTTCCATTTTATAATTTGAAAAATTCTTCAAAATTTAAGGTTAGGGACCACCTTTATTTTAACCTCTTTCAACCTTTAATGATCACACAATTGTTATATTTTTTTCTTGTTTCATTTGGGTCCTAAAAACGTACAAGATGGTCCTCAGATCATTTAGATTTAAAGGGTTTAAATAAAGGTGGCGTCTTCCCTCAAAAAGAGACAAAACGAAAAAGTATATAATTTAGGTCAAAATATATTTTTATTTAAATTAATTATTTACATTTAGGTCATGTGTAAAAATTATACTTTGAAATTTACTACAAATAGTTTTAACATCCATTGTTCGCATCATCTCATAAAAAAACTTAAAAACGCTTCTGATAACTTTCACGGAGAAAAATAAATAGTAATAATTGTAACATTTTCGATCAAAAATTACTACTTTCAAATAGTAATTTTGGACCTGCTCAAGAAATAGTAACTTTTGTTTCTTTTTAAAGAAATTTTACTTTTTTCAAAAAAGAATAATTCATCTCAAGGAATATAATTTTTATTAAAAGCTGAGTAATATTTAAAATGTCCCAAGCAATAAATGCTAGGATCGAAGCAACTTTTATTATGAATCGGAACAATTATTACTATTTCCTAAAGAAATAGTAATAACTTTTACTCGAAAAAGTAGTAATCGGTACTACTACAATGACGCGCCTCACATGTACGGGTGAAAGGAATTCTGTCGCGTGTGCAGCTGCGCGCCTGCGCGTTTGTCCACGACGTGATGAGAAGATGAAGCGAGTATAGAGAGCTATATATTTTCTCGTTTTATTTTAATAAATAAAAATAAAGCAGTGCGTTTAAAAAAAATTTTTTTAATTAATTAACACTCTTTATGCGTATTATATTCATTATTTCACAAGTTTCACTCTTTAAACATATTCACACTTACAATTAACAACTGAACATATCGGAAAATCTTACATCTACACGGATTAGAACCCTACCTACGAAACTTATATCTAAACGCAATAACCCTAAATCGCACGCTTTTTCACTAAGCCTCTCGGCCGTCGCAACCGCTGCACTCAAAAACGTAATTTACCCACATACCCCTCTTTAATAAAATGAATCATAAATTGTATTTATTTAGATAAGATATTAAATTAACATATAAAAATTTATAATAATAATAAAATAAATAAAATAAAATATTTCTACAAAATAAATAAGAATTATTTAAGCAAATGTTATAAAAATTTTATATATAAAACAGTTGGAATTGCACATTGTAGTATATAAAACTTTGAAGTATTAGCAAATAATAATTAATACTAATATACATAAAATCTTAAGAAGTTTATTTCTTTATGTTTTTTTTATTTATTTTATTATTATAGGTATAATAATTATTATATTATTTATTTTTATTATTTAATTAGATAGTAATTAATTAAAAGTTAATTAAGTAATCAATTGATATTCATTATATACGCAGGAATTGCATACTTTGGAAATTGATATAAATAAATAAAATGTAGGAATTAAAAATTAATTTAAAATGCTAAAATTATTTATTGTCAAACATTTTTTTATTAAGATGAAATTTACATTTTTTATACTTATATATAAGTTCTTTCTAAGTTTCTAACAAAGACTGTCTTTGCTTTCTAACCCGAAAATGCCGGATCACTTTAACAACGTCAGGCTACGATCGCTGCGCATGACCGTAGTGACGTAATCACACACCCACAGGCGTATAGTAGTAGTGGTACGGATTACTACTTTTTCGAGTAAAAAGTTTGTTCTGCAATAGTAAAACTTGTTTCTTGCAGAAGCAATTTTTATATTCCGCAGTAGTGCTTATTAGGATTTCTACGAGTAATATTTAAAAAATGTTGAATGTAAAAATTAATACAAAATTTAATAAAATTTACAATGGCGTTATAAAATTTAAAAATCGCAAAGCAATTTCCATTACATCTGTAGTAATTTTTAAAGTGACTACTGTAATAATTACTATTAGTAATTTTTACTACCATAAATAGTAATATTTACTTCATGAAAAGTACATTTTACAATTAATAGTAATTTTTACTAGAAAAATATAATTATTACTATTCCATAGGAATTATTACTAGAAACTCAGCTCCATTTTTCTCCGTGTTTTTTTTAAAAAAACTCAAACATAAAGAGTCTTATATAGATGCCTCTTTCTTCAGCGTAATACAAACTTTGTACTCTCTAAATCTGAATTAGTAAAAATGTTCACTAATTTGAATTAGTGACTCACTTTTTGCTTCTGAATTAGTAAAATTTTACTAATTATTAGTAACTTTTACTAACGATTAGTAAAATTTCACTAATTCAGAAGCAAAAAGTGAGTCACTAATTCAAATTAGTAAACATTTTTACTAATTCAGATTTAGAGAGTAAATGCATTCTAAAAAGAAAAGTCTCAAAACCGTTACATTACATTCAAAAATCAACTAAATTTTGTTTTCCTACCTCAAATAATAAAAAAAACAAAAACAAATAGTATGTCACGTGTCGAAAACTACACACAAACATTACATTGTTTGTTTTCTTCATATATATATATATATGTATATAAAACCAAAAGCAAACAAGACTTCTCATTTCAATCGAAATTTTTTCCAATTCTCGAAAATTGGTCTCGACCCACAATACAATATTGACAACTTTCCAACAAAATTTATAACCCAGTCTCGTTCAAATTGTATATATACATATATATATATATATATATATATATATATACGTATACAATCGAGCCAATATCCCCAGAATCAGTTGACGTGCCATGTGTAGTGTGTACGCCTAACTCTACACGTTGTCCTCCCCCCCTCTCTCTCTCCCTTCTCCAACAATCACCCACCCCAATTCATTTCCCACCCGCTGTGCGCATCGTATACACATTCAACCTCGACATTGTATATTTCGTATAGGAAAAATATATTTTAAAACTTCAAGTGTCATCCGAGAGTATACATATATATATTGTATATTCATTTACAGTAGACACAAGAGGTTATGCCTCTCTGTTAGTTTGGAATGTCTAAAGCTCTCAAGTAGTAAAGGGTCTCACCTGGTCTGGCCGACCCAAGGTCAGGTTAGTAGGCCGCGAGCACCGTGACTACTGCTTTTTTATCACCCTCCAGCTCTTGAATACACCAACCAATCACTTTGCATACACATTCACGCACACACATACACACACACAGAGACACTGTGAACTAATGTCGAGCACACAAAAATTCTCTATATTTTAAAAAGAGGACCAGCTAAATTATCAATGAATGGAGTACAAAAACCATAAGCAGTTTTTTTTTTTATCGGGTGACAAAACCGCACTACAAGTGAAAGAAAAAAACAGTGGGCCGACCCGGCCAGGTCGAGCTTTCGCGAGGAACTAACGGGGATAGTGGAGCTTTCACGCAAGCCAACCCCCCACTTTTACGTTATTCTCCTCTCACCCTCAACACAAAATCCCTCTTCTCTGTTTAATAGCTTCTCTCCCTCTCTGTTAGTGACTACCCCCTCTTAAACTTACTTCCCCTATTTTCGTCTCACTCATCTTGCTCTCTCTTTTCATCTCACTGAAGAAAGATAGAGAAATATATATATATATAGAAAGAGAGAGAGACCTCCTTTTGTCTCTTACCTTTTTGAACCTATCTCTCTCTCCCTCTCCTTCCTTGAATGTTGAAAACACATAGAGTACTATCATCCCATCCCTGCTTTCACCTGCTTCTCCCTCAGTTCCTCCTCACGGTGGAAAGCTCTCTCTAGAATTCTCCTCTTTTTCTCACGAGCACCTCCCTCATCCCGCGCACTTGTTTCCTCATCGCTTTTTTTTCATTTTTTTCATCAACGCTTTCTTTCTTTATCCTTAGACTTCTCCATATACGTCTGTTGCATCATCCAGCCACCTTCTTTTCATCTTCGACATGGTTTCTTCTACAACTCGCAGACTTGTCCTTTTTTTTTATTCTTTTCCGCACCTCGAAAGAAAACGTTGTAGGCCAACAAGAGTGGTTTATTAATCAGCTTCTGAACGACGTTTATATAGGGATTATTATATTGCGATACTTGATAAAGAGGTAGGAGATCGAATATTTCGAATAGATATATGAGGCATTCTTTGTCAACGCGGACACCCCTCTCACCTAAATTCTATTCATTTTAGATTCATGTTTAATGGCTTAAATTTTAGTTAAAGGAATATACTTTTGAAATCTGAGTGGCATATTTCCAAATACAAAGGACTCAAACAGTACTTGTTGGATTGTTCAAAGTGAATTAGAGTAACTTTTTATTGGTAAATTTAAAGAATAAACTTTATATTGGATGGATCAGAGAGAAATAGATAATACGGGATAGTATCTAGATAATATCAGGTAGGGTAAGTCCGGGGGAGTTGGCCATAATTTTTTAACTATTAACATTTTACTTACAAATAATAATAGAAATGATAAATTTTTTAAATGTAAACAATCTTAAAATTAATATTTTTAAAAAAACACGTTTGGCCATCTCTCCTGGAATGTACGGGGAAGATGGCCATAGGCGTACGGGAGAGATGGACAATACTTTAAAATCATTCTTTGGCTTTTCGCTTTATTAGAATTCTTAATTTAAAGTGATTAATGTCTTCTTTTCTTCTTCTGACCACATTTCGAACATTTATCATTAAATTCAGTGCAATTTTCATGAAGCCAGAGGTGACAATCATTGCACTGAATCCAGCCTTCTATAAGCGCTCTCTGTTTGTCTGTCTCACCAACACAACAAGTGTACAAGGTATTTTTTGGAGATATCAAAGTGGTTTCCAATTTATTTTTGTGTCCTGAACACGATTTCAGGTTCCAAAATTGCGTATCACGTCTGGATTTTGAGTAAAGTGGGGGTAAAGTCTCCAAAACCCGTGTTTTTGAGGGTTTTCAGTATTTTTTTTCTCCTTAACCTGACGTGATAGAGTGATGTAACCTTACTATCAAGGCCCTTGAAAGTCCGCCGTAAGTTTAATACAAGCTTACGATGTAACCTTACAATCCATACAAATAATTATACGGTAACTTTACAGCAATATGTTGTGTTGTGTGGGTAAAATAAAGAATAATTAATATATAATAAATATCGGTCCTGATTAGTCCTTTTTGTTTTATTATGAAAAATTCTCACGAGGCATTGAGGACTGTTGCTTTTAGGGAACCATGTTCAGAACAACGCAATGAATCTTGAAGGTTAAGAAGTCAACAAGGGAAGAGCTTCCTGGTGTATATATTTGGATGTGAGTCCCAAATATTCAAGAGCACCAGGAAGACGAAATCGCTGTTTCGTTGACGATCTGTCAAAATAAAACTGGCATCCATTTTCCTGTAGATTTTCATCGTCAATCAACTCTACATAGAATAGTTCCGGAATCTACGTTACCGACGATCGCATATCGGTTATCGATCGTGGATAAAATACTATATTGAATATTAATTAATCTGAATAACACCGAGAAGAGGGGCCGCTTATCAGCGACGCCTTCGAGCATGGCTCGTCAACCGCATTGAATCCTCATTCTAATCCTTGTGTTCGTAAAGTAAAGTTGTCGTTCTATTTTTATTGTGAAATTGTTAAAAATTTAACTTTTAATAGTGCCACGAAGCATCATTGTCGTCGCTAACTAGACGGTGAGTCCCAAATATTGATATAAAGGTCGTTTCCATCTGACTCGATCTGATTATTATAAAAAATGTTAATTTCAAAGCAATAAAATGTGATTCTTGTATTTACGGCCTTCAGCCATATTCAACTCAATCGGCATTTTGTCGAATGTAAAGTAAAAGAAAATAGATGAATAATCCAATTAATAATAATTGATATGATTATTAATAGATAATGTATTGTTGTAAATTCTGTGCAATTAATGGTATTTCTACTTAACTTCGCTCTCCGCGATCTATTGTTGTCATAAGGTAACAATGTAGTTCCTAAGCTGGTTATTGGTAAAAATATAATACAGTGAAACCCACATATATCGGATTTCAAGGGACCGGAAAAAAATCCGATGTAAGCGGAAATGCTAATTATGCGGGTTCGATATACGTGGATTACATTGTATTAAATTAAGTTTTAATCCTTAAAATAGCCGTTTTAGTAATAAAAACAACTATCTCATAATTATATGAATATTGTAATAAATAAATATTTTTCATTGTAATGCACGTTTGCAAAATCGAATTTCACTGGCGAACGATACGTGATCATTATGGTTATTTTACATTAGGGAAAAATATTTGAAAACTGAAAATATAAAAAATACCGAGACAGAAATCTACCTCACTGTCTGATGGTAAAACAGTTTTTTGAAATATAAAAATCTAAAAAATTACCGTCATAGAAATCTACCTTACCGACTGCTGGTAAAGAAATTTTTCAAAACTGTTTTACCATCAGTCGGTAAGGTAGATTTCTGCGTCCGTAATTTTTGTATTTTTATTTTCAAAAAAAATTATTCCAAAATTCTTTTGAAAAAAATTAGAGTTCGAATTATATATATATCTTCCTATATTACAAAAAGATATCGCCGCCGCCGCCTCCGCCGCCGCTGTTTCAAGAATTCTTGACCTAGGAGGGAGGAGTCCCCCCTCCTAAATTTTGAGGTTATGTTCGTTTCAAGGCTCTGAATATAGCCGCAAGTCCCCCTCCCTCCTCTCATTTCCCCTCCTCCATCAAAAATGACCTAAATTTTGAGGTTATGTTCGTTTCAAGGCTCTGAATACAGCCGCAAGTCCTTCCCTCATCTCTTTCTGTATTTCCCGCCAAAAATAGGGGGGTTGGCGCGCAAAGCGCGCAGGGGGGCGTAGTCCCTCTAGTATATATATATATATTTATATTTATATAAAAAAATAACACAAAATTATAGATAATGGCGCTTAATTAAAAAAAAAATTGTTTTGAAGAAAAAATATTTTCTCTTATTTTGTTTGTATATAAATATTTTCATACTAGCGAAATGGAAGATCTAGCTGTTGTATAGATGTAGGAAAAAATTTGTTATCTTTTCACGTAGTCATATTTTTTCAATTTTTTTTTATTTCCTTAATAAAGTCTCTAGAGCATAAAAAATTGTGTATAGAATTCTACAAGTTTACTACATGGCCTACAAAATTTTAAGGAACAATCAGATAAAGCAATCGAAACAAAAGTTAATTTAACAATATTTCTAACACAAACTATGGCTATTATCATATTTTCTTCTTTTACATACTTAACCTTTACAATATGTAGCCTAAATGGTAATAAGGATACTATCATAAAAGTAAGGTTAGAATTACAACTTTTACTAATCAAACAGTATTATAGTATTCTTCATGTGACTCACAGATTTTGTGCAATGGCAACTTAATATATATGGGCAAATCCACAGAACCGGCCGATTTCATGTTACTCACATATTTTTCTATTTTAGAAGTATTATATTAATTATTTTCATACTTCAACCATTTTGTAATATCTCTGAGAACCTATTGAAATAAGAAAATTGAATAAATGTGAACCTTCTAGTCTTTTATAAAAAATAAAATCGAATTAAGTAACTTAAAAAATGAAATTTACGGTGTTACTCCAGGTATAAATTTTAATTCTTATAGGTATAACTTGTTCGGCATAGATCCGAACAATTCCAAACTGTGGTGAATTATAGTTTACTTATTGAAGAATGTTTTGAAAGTAATAAAAAATATGTGCTCTTAAATAAAAAGAAATGATAGTCGTTGAAAGTAGCGTTACTCATTATTTTATAATAATGAAATGTCTATACATTTTTGTAAATATATTTTGCGGCGATTATTCGATTTGAATTTTTCAAATTGGAGCTTATTGCTTTTGAACAGACGAACAAATGTATGTATCATAGAATAAAGTGCAATCAGAATTAAAGAAAATATTCCAATAATTATCACTCTATGTTTAAGCGTGAATCATTTTCAACATAGCCTTTTTTCAGTAGCACAACTACAGGATAAAATATGATGAGTTGAAAACATGTGTGATTATATAAAGACATTATTATAATTCTTGTATGCAAACGCCAAATTATATTTTCAATTTATAACGTCTAAAAATTAAAAATAAAAAAAAATTTATCGAAATTTAACTAGTTAATCCTGAAAAATGAATTATCCTTTCATTTGTTTTATTTTCAAAGTTATATCAAAATCGATGTCAATAATGTCAGTTTGTTGGTTAAAATAGTTAATATCAAAATTAGTAAGTAAACAATTTAATTTACAGAAATAAAAAATTAAATGCTAATAAATAAAATATATAATAAAATATGATAAAATATAAATAATTTATTTTTGATAATTAAAAAACTAATTATTTGTATTTTATCATATTTTATTATTCAAAATGTTTTGCACATATTTCAAATAATATATAAAAAAAACAAAGAAATGCCATTTTTAATTATAATTTCCAGAAGAAAAATAATATTTTCGTTTTTGGCTTTTAACTCAAACGGCATTAAAATAAAATGAATCACGCAAGAAGATAATT